TTAGGGGTTAGGGGGAAAAAAATGGACTCCGCGTTGGTGCCTCCCTTTTACTCCAGGTTTTTGTTGGCGACCGAGCCGCCGGGCCCCCTCCTGGGTCGTGTGAGGTTGTGTAAAAGGTCCGGGGGTTTTGGCTGATCTAGGGGCCCGGGGCGGGCCGGGGGGCCCGGGGGGGCCCGGGGGCGGGGGGGCCAAGGGGGCCGGGGGGGCCGAGGGGCCGAGGGGGCCAAAGGGGGCCCGGGGGGGGCCGAAGGGGCCGAGGGGGGCCGAGGGGGGCCGGGGGGGGCCGAGGCCGGCGGGCAGCGGGGCGTCGCGGCGCATACTAAGTGGACATTAAGGGAGGAGGCCCCGCCGGCCCCGCCGGCCCCGCCAGGCCGAGGGCCCCGCGCACAGGGGGCCAGAAGACCGGTGGAGGCGGCCAAAACTCTGGACGCGTTTTGAGCTGTAAAGTCGTTTAAAACGGGGCTCGAACCGAACTTGCGACCCTACCAATGGATTCCTCGTTCGGAGAGCAATCCATTGGTGGGGTCACACGCTCGTTTCGAGTCCCATTTACCGACTCTGCAGCTCAAAACGCGTCTGGAGTTTTGGCCGCCTCCACCGGTCTTCTGGCCCACTGTGCCGCGCTGGACAACACGATGTGGGGCCGAGGCCGTAGTCCTCCTCATCAAGGCTTGGCCAGCCCTCGGCCGCCCGTCCCGGACGCGAACCCTTTGTAATGCCTTGCCAGTTAGTTTGTGGCGGCAGAGGAGGCGGGCACGGACCGCAAACGACCCCGGCGAGGAGACGGCGAGGACCGGCCGCGGTCGCTCCGTCTCTGTCGCACTCCCGGGGCGTGCCGTACGGCCGCGGCGGTGCGAGGGAGACAGAGCGACCGTGCGAAACTTCGGAACAAACCCGTCTAGCGCAGCCCCGGCGCAGCGCCGTGCCACTGTTGTGCCGCCCTTATGATCCAGTCTTTTTCCAGATTGATCTTCTCTTTCGGTCTCTCTTTCTCGCCTTTCTTTCTATCTTCCCGCGGATTTTCAAGTAATCACCGAGCACTGCGGCAGTGACGCGGAGTGAGAGGGCCGACCGTTGTGTGCCGTCTCGCCTTATTGCTGGCGGCGTCACACCTTTCGGGGGGTTGGGTGTGTTGGGGTGTGGGGGGGTGGGGTGTGTGTGTGTGTGTGTGTGTGTGTGTGTGACACTGTCTGTGTGGCAGCATTGGACACTGACTGCGGTTCATATCACGTCCAGAACGCGTCCCGCCACGGCGCCCCTTTCCCAGGTTATGAGTCTCAGCCCGAGTCTGCTCCGCCAGGACGTGGCGTGACGCGGCGATGGTCAGGTGCGAGGTGGTGGTAGTGGTGGTGGTGG